ATCATATAAAATATAAATATATGCATATAAACCCATCTATGTATATATAAAATATATTTTCTATTAATATGTTAGTATAAAATTATGTAATATAAAATTACAGAAAAAAAAAAATGTGAATAAGGAAATATATATGTAATATTGTCGTAAAAATTGTAATTCGCGTGTAATAAATTATCTGTCCTAAGTATACTATTACAGACATTAATAATACAAGTATAATATCTGTAAAGTGCATTTGTATTTTATTGCGATGTAACGCATTCCAGGAAGTAAAGTAAGGTGTTTTAAATTTCATTGAAATAATATTTTTTGAATAATATAATTATCACGAATAAAAAGTTCGATGAGAAAAGTTCAAGTTTACGATAAAAGTCATTAGATATATATATATATATGTATTTTTCTTTTTGTTAATTCAATTAGAACTTTCAAAGAATAATAATAATAATAATAATAATACGAGTAATACATTTACGAATGAAAAAAAAAACTAATGAATGATTCTGGTATTCTCATAAGAAAAATGAACAACGAAACGAATAAATATATGTTCTCTTCATTAACACATAAATCCGAATTTCTAATCTGCAATTGATCGTTTCCTCAAAACGTAAACTAATTCCACAGAAGTAAAGGATTACTATAGGAATATAGGATTATAGGAAGAACAAGATATATGTGTATGTATGGATGGTGGCTTAGGTACATTGATTCACGAGGTAACCGTAAAATCTGATGCCTTGGTTTAGCAAACGGATGAAATCGAACATCGACCGGGTTGCGATAACCTACATTCCAAAGTTTTATAGTAAAATGTTAAAAAGACCAAAAGTTAACGCTATGAATGTTTTTATAAATAGATATCGAATAAAAAAAAAATATATATATATATATATATATTAAATATAAAAAAAACGAGTATTAATATTAAACCTAAAACCTACCGAACAAAAACCTTTCGCGTATTTTAAAAAAAAAAAAAATCGAAGAAAAAAATATATAGAATGAAATATAGTAGTTAATTGAATATTTGAAAAAAAAAACATATCTTTTATGAGAGAGAGAGAGAGAGAGAGAGAGAGAGAGAGAGAGAGAGAGAGAGAGCACGAAAATGATCGATTAATTTTCAAGTTAGCAACTTCTCGAATAATTTCATGAATAAAATCAAATTGAAATGGTCGATAATTTGTTTCTTTTTTTTTTTTTATCTATATCTATCTATCTATCAATCTATTTATCTATCTCTCTCTATCTCACTATTTATCCTATACACTTCTTCTTTTTTTCTTTTGAAAGTTTTCTACAATACAACGTAGAAATTGTTACGGAGTTTTTCACGGAAAAATTGGGTTTCGTTTATAATATGGAAATAAAAGAAACTTTTTAAATGGAATTATCCAATGCCGTTGAGAGGGTGGGGGGAAGAAAATCTAAAAAAGGTTTCCGATGGATTCTCGAAACGCATCCAAGTTTAAATCTCGACAGAGATGTATAGAAAAAAATAAAGTATTTTCTTTATAAATAAATTTTATGTATATATATATATATACAAGCGTGTATT